TTTTCCCGTTTTGGTATAACCTATAAACGAATCCCGGTGCGAAATACTCGAATCCAGGCCCAAGATATCCTACGTATTACTTACTGGTTTTTCTGAATAATATCACAATTAAAAATTTTCATCTTCGTTTTTATACATTCCAAAAAATGACTTTCAAGTTAATTATCTTCTTCTTCTTAATCTTGGGTTATACATTTGGATACAGAATTACTGGTGAAGTGTGTCCACTTCCATCAAGTTTGAAGACAAATTATGATTTCAACTGGAAATCAAAAACAAATGAATGGTCGAATACACAGACTAAAGCAAGCTATATAATGCTTGCATTATCATGGTAAGTTGACTGAATATTTCATAGAAAATAATTATTATAAAGAAATATTTATTCTCTAATATTTGATGAAATCACTCGGATTAAATCTTGTTAAGACAAGAATACATCAATCATATTGTCATGTACAATAATGAACTCCGTAATTTTAATGTGGAACTAACATTATCGAATTTTAGAATATTAAATAGTATCAAAACCCGACTTTGTCAGATTGTTTTTTTGTCGAATCAAAATCTCGATAAACCATCGAGTTTTAGAAAATAAGATGATATTCGATAGAAACTTCATAAGAAAAATGCTTGTTCTCAGTTAGTTTTTGAATTTCAATAAACTTCGATAAAGATTGACATTTATTAATATAAATTAATTGATGTTTTAAGGAGTCCAACTTATTGTGCATCACTAACTCAAGCAGCACGTGATAAAAAATTTCAATGTCATCCAAGTAATTCGTTCGGTTTGATTGTTCATGGTTTATGGCCTCAAGCATCGAACGCTGAAAATGTTCGAGCTCATCCACGAAATTGTCGTGATGAACCTCAATTGAATGCAACATTTGTTAAAAGATATTTCTGTATTATGCCTGATGAAGATCTCGTTCAAGGAGAATGGGAGAAACATGGTAAATACATTAAGTGATTTATTTTCTTTTGCTTATTTGTTCTCTTCTACTGATCTTTCCTTCGATTAGAATTCGTTTATGAATGCTGATCAGTTTTTTTTCTTTTATTTTGAAAATTAACATTTTTAGCAGTTAACTAAACGTTTCACCGATCTATTTAAAAAAAAATCAAGCCAGTCATACTATCTTAAATAGAACTGCAAAAAAGAAAAACTATGAGTCTGAACGAAATTCAATATCTTAAAATATTATTTCAGTACATTGATTAGTATTTGTTTCAAATATCAAACTATTCAATATTAAACTTTATTTTCTTGCTTTAGGTACTTGCCACTATTCAGAAGCAGTTGATTATTACACAGTGACGGAAGAACTTTTCAAAAGTCTTAAACTACCAGAATACAATCTATTAAATACAGCATCAGCCACAGTAATCAAAGATGAATTTCTTACACTCAACGCACCGGCACTATTTGCATCGGCAATCCGAGTCGATATGGATTCAAAAGGTCGTTTCAAAGAAGTCAAAATATGCTACGATTTACAATATCAATTTGCCGCTTGTACATGAGTTTAATATTTCATAGTGACACACATAAAGTTTCTATTGAAATAATAAAAATAAATTTAAGAAGCATGAAAGATAAGCTTTTGTTGAAATCAACATAATTAAAAGAATGGTCACGACTTACAGATGTGGGTGGGTGTGTAGGTGTGGGTGGATGTGGGTGTGGATGTGGGTGTGGGTGGGTGTGGGTGTGTGGGTGTGAGGTGTGAGGTGTGAGTGTAATCTTTAATAACGTCCACACCCATACCCCCACCCCACCCCCGCTCCCACCCTCACATCCGCACAACCCACATCCACACCTCAAAATGACTTGTGTACGACAATTAGTCATCATTTTTACTGCTGAGAAAAGGCCACCAACAAGATTTCACTCTTGTTTGCATTCAAACAGAGGGTGTGGATGTGGCTGTGAGTGTGGTTGTGGGTGTCGGTGGGTGTGGGTGAGGGTGTGGCTGGGTGTGGGGTGTGCGTGTGGGGTTTGGGTGTCGATGTGGAGTGTGGGTGGGTGTCGGTGTGGAGTGTGGCTGTGAATGTGGAATGTGGGTATCGGTGTCACAAAAGGAGTAACGTCCTCACGCACACCCACACCCTATGTGGCACTATCTAATAGTGCCAATGTAATTGCACAATATCAGTTGGTTCCATCATAAAGATAGTCCTTCTTGACTGACAGTGTCAATTACAATAAATTTTCGCTGCTGTTAAAATAAAAGGTTTTATATAACAAAAATTTAACAGAAGAAAAAACGCCAACATCTGCAGTCTTAAAAAAACAGATGCAGCCTTATTAACACTGACGAGTTCTGTGAAGCAGACTATGAATAACAAAAAAAACATGGAAAGGTAACCGAACGAAAAAAAAACTGTAGTCGTGAATGTTATTGCAAAATTTAAAACGATGATGAATTCGGCAAGGTTAACGGTTCACGTCAACAAAAAAAACAGAGAATAAACCCACCCTATTTTACAGACGTGTGAGTGTAAAAGAAGTACACACAAAGCGGGAAAAGCGGATCCTGGATCCTCAGATCTTGTAAATCTTTGTGGACCTCGGTAGATCCTAATGGATCCTGGTGGATTCTAATGGATCCTAATAGAATCAGATGAATGTTAGGATTAATTATTTGAAGTGTGGGGTGTGAGTGTCCATGTTTATAAAGAAGAAAACTACACCACACCATACCCCACACCCACCCACACCCTCGACCTTGAATTAAAGGTTTTCTTTTGTTGATTATTGCTTTCACACAATGATGATGTGACAAAGACGCACAAATATAAATTTATTGTTCTTCACAAGCATGATTAAGTATACATATATATGTTTATATATGGAATCTTACTGATGCAAACGTTGAATATTCAATAGAAAAATGAAAAAAGACGAAGAAGATGTGGACAACAAAAAAATTGAAAGAAAACTGCTCGATAATAAATATATTTGGTATGAAGAATACTAAAATATCGTTGTCAAAAAGATAATTTCATTCCCGATTACCGATCAAACTCAGAATAAATACAAATATATAAATAATATCAATATAAAGCATAAGTGATGCAAAAATATGATCTTCAGCACTTATTTCGTGTCGTTTTCCACCCATAATTAATTGGGTATCAACAGCCAAGAACTAACAATAGAAAATCATTTTTTTTTTGATTTCTTAATTATTAAAACTTACAATCGAAAAAGCCACAGCTCCAAGACCAGCATAGACTGTATACAATATCTTAAAAAAATAAATTGTTTTTTTGAAAAACATACCCTAGATATTTTGTTTTATTAAAATTCTTACTCTTGAATAAGTAAAAGCACAAACAATTCCAAAAGCTAAAAGTGCTAATGACATAACAAATAAAACTCCAAAACATGATGTAAAATCATATTTTGTTTGAAATGAAAATAATGTAACACCCAAACAAACAACTGTTGTTATACCAACAGCAATCAAAATTGATTCAATTTTATAATATGCTGAAATCATACCCATCTAAAGTTTTTTTTCAAAAAACAAAAATATTCTAGAGAATAAATAATATTCAAATTGAATCATACCATATAACTCATTGATAATGTCTAAAAATAAAAACTTTACTTTTTAATTAATTTGATTTTCTATTTTACCAAAATGCCGAGTAAAATAAGATTAAGTGGAAATCTTCGTGCTGCACGTTGCGAACAAACCAATGCAAAATAAGTAACCAAGAAAACACCATATGATGCAAAATAAAGCCATCTGCCATTTTGACTTTGTACATATTCACGGATCGGTGGTCTATATTATATATTTACTTTAAAATATCTGATTAGAAAAATTATAAACATACGTAAAATGAAATAATGCAATAAAACCAAATGTAATCGATAATTGAATCATAAGAATTATATAAACCTATTTTATATAAAATTATTAAAATAAATTATTTTCTTTTAGATTTCGATTAATACAAACTTTTCGAATAAATACACGACGAATTTCTTTGCTTTCAAGACCAGTAAAATCTCCCCATTGGCCTCCACCTTGTGCATTATCTTTATTAAAGCAAAGACAAAAATCTCAATTATAATTCAAAAAAAACAAGTAATTAATTACATAATTTAGCAAAGCATTCAGAAGTTTAAGCAAAACTATTCGAATATCAAAAAGATCAAAATAAAATGGTCACAATTTCAAATTGTTTTCTTATCTAAGTTTGAATTTTATTTTTAAGAATATCAAAAACTCTTTTCTTCAAGATTCAGACAATTCAGTCTAGTT